ATAAATAAATAAATAAATAAATAAATAAATAAATACTTTGAATTGAGCTTGGAAAACAACTGGCAACTAGTGCAGGGCATACTCATAAATGTACCTATTAGTAGCCCAGCTTCTGCATTTTACTAAAGTAAATGGATGAAATCCTCCATATTTAAATGACTCACTTGCCACATTTGGAATGCTGGTAATTTTCCTGTTAAGGTTTATTTGAGCATAATGTTTTTTTGAATGACTGTTGATCTGTAGAAGAATACAGAGAAGGCACTTTCAACAGCAGGAAGAAGACTGAATTGTCTGCAAACCAGGTTGCAGAGACCAAGAGTTAGATTTATTGTGTGATCAGACAGGTTTTAGCCCATTGTTTGGGCTGCTGTGGGGGAATGAGTTGGATCACTCCTTTTGATAGCAGTTACATGATACAATCGCTGGAGTGATCCAAATTGTCCCGAGAGCTTTATTTCCCATAACCTTTCTGGTCCCTCTTAGGCACTTCTGGTTTTTTGGTGCGGTTGGGATCATTTTGGTTTGGTCTGTTTTCAGTGCATGTGATTGGTGGAAATGAACCAAAAGTGACCCTTCCCTGTCAATTTGGTAGTATTGTGAAGTGGCTTAAGAAAAGAGCCACTTCAGGATATTGCCAAATTAACCACTTCCTCGGCTGTATGGAGGGGCCAGGGAAATGAAAAGAAATTTCCTCATTTTAAAAAAATGGAAGGCAAATGGGAAGTTTTCTGCTGGAAGCTTTTGTTTGCTTTTCTCTCCAATTCAACTGTGGCTCTCAAACCAGACCTTTAAGAGAAAAGCAAACAAAAGCTTCCAGCTTTCCCTTTCTCTTTCTCTTTTTTTTAATTCTTTTTTTATTTTTTATTCTCTTTTAAAATTTTCTTTTATTCTCTTTTTTTAAAGCGATGCAGTGTATATTTGCTGTCTTTCTCTTTTTTTTAAATTCTTGTTTTATTTTTTATTCTCTTTTTAAATTTTCTTTTATTCTCTTTTTTTAAGTGATGCAGTGTATATTTGCTGTCCAATGCACACTTATTTCCCCCCCCCACTTCCTCAGCCCCTCAACTGAGCTGAGGGTGTGTTTAATTTG